TATTTTGTGTTATGTATTTTTTCGTGTTATATATTGTATAGTTTCACGTTAAACTGTGACCCATTTTAAACAGAAAGGACCCTTGCCATTGAACATGGGGAAATTCACCAAAGCATTGATTTTAGCAAAGCCTGGGACGCTGCCGATGAGACACTGAACGTCAAAAAACGTCTAGAGTTTGCGCGCATTAACTTATGTTGGGATCAGTAAAATGCCACGATTATTCAAATGTTATTTAACGCACAAAATCACTGAAACAGCAACTTGACGAGTTAAGTGAAAAAAACTAGACAAGACATATACAAAAAAAACTCCAATTCTTGGCACAGAAACACCGTTGGGACATGTGCTGCTATGGTGGTGACCCCAGCCTGGACAAGATCAGTGCTGGGGCCAGCACCACGCCCAGCCACCATTGTCCCCCCCTGTCCCCCCATCCCCCCCGCTTATGTTGACCCCGTTCCTCTTTTAAAGGCCAAGTCAATCTAGGCGAGGTCCAGGCCAGATTCAGATCGCAAGTTCCAATGGCGTCATCATACACTGAATCAACATCCATCGTCTGGGTTTGTGACATTTTTGGTTAGTAACCGCAAGTAGTAGTCACTCACATGCACACACGCCCACCGACAGCAGGACAATTAAAAGGCTGAACAACACAATGACTAACCTATTACAATACCACCGGCGTGGAGGATAACATTGCACAAAGCATGCAAGGTGGTGTAGCACTGCTGGCCTCATACGCCACAGTGGACCATATTGACCCACTGACTGCCACCCGGGTCACTTCACAGCAGTGCTTTTCAACCGGGGGTCACGTGCCAATGTCCCACGGGGCACGTGAGGTGATTTATAAATGTGTGAAATTATATCATACATGACTGTCATTGGTAAATAATCATGTATGGATCTACAAATATAAAATAACTACGATACATTTTAAATCCATATGGTAATCTAGAACATTATAAAATACCTTTATGAACTCGTTATAAAAGACCTTTCTAATCTAAAGAGTAACCAGCGAGTGCGAACTAATTACGTCACGCTTGCAGTTACTTGGCTAGTGAGGATAATCTCACAAAATGGTAAATTGGTTAAAGCATTGACGTTCATTATTTATACATTTATTTTTCAGAACCATATTGAGCCAGGAAAGCGGGGGGGGGGGGGGGGGGGGCTACTCGGTTGAATCAAAATTCAACAAGGGGGTTACAGCAGTAGCCAACAAAGGTTGAGAACCACTACCCTACAGCACGGCTGTACCTGCTGCGACAAACCACCCACTATGCCCGAGAGCAATGTCCATATGTGTGAATGCATGTGTGTGTGTGCATCTTCCGAACATCCGTGGAGGGATGCAGGCAAAGCTGATGAGTCAGATGCCTTCAATGACCTCCTGTCACAGGTGCTGGCTAAAGTGGCCCCTCGGGATAGAGTCATCTTGTTGGGTGACTCCAATGCCCGAGTTGGTCATGATGCTGGCACCTGGTCTGGAGTGATTGGAGGGCATGGGCCGGATCAGCTCAATAACAACGGTAGGAGGCTGCTAGATTTTTGTGCCGCCCATGGGCTTGTAATTACCAACACGCTGTTCCGGCATCGGCGCATCCACACAACATCATGGATGCATGCCGGGTCCGAGCAAGAACATCTGCTGGACTACATAGTGACGGACCAGCGGATGCGAGCCCATGTCCTTGACACCAGGACCTACCGTGGAGCTGATCTGCCCTCTGACCATCGACTTGTCATCTGTAAGATGCACCTGCCATTCTTCCACTCCGGTGGTGGGTGTACACCCAGGACCCCATTACAACCAAAAGTGGCCTGGTCTCAGTTATCTGATGAAAGTTGCAAGTGAGAATTTCATCATCGCCTGCGGCTGGGGTTGGCATCGTCTCCCACTCCTCCTGATGTCGAGGGTAAATGGGCGAGGTTTAGGACTGTGACTCATGCAGCTGCAATGGCTGCTTTGGATATGCGGTCCAGACCTCCTCAGAGACCCTGGCTGACAGAGGAGGTGTTCAGGATGATTGAGAAAAAGCGACAGGCCCACTGTCATTGGCTACAGAATCCCACATCAGAGAATAAGGAGGCCTACCGCAGCTTTCGCTTGGAGGTTCGGAGAGCCGTGAGGCGCTGCAAGGATGGGTGGTGGTCGCGGGTTGCTGAGAAGATGGAGTCTGCCTCAGTGGCCCATGATCACAAATCTCTATTTAACTCCATCAAAAAAGTAACCTGCAGCGCCACACCTATTACCATAATTCGGGGAAAAAACGGTGATCCAATCACTGACCCCCAGGAACAGGTTTGCAGATTTGCTGAGCATTTCTGTGAGGTCGTGGGGGAGGGAAAATCCCTCAGCCAGGAAAACATCGTGGCACAAAGTGAGGATGACCCTGCTGAGGCTGCGGTGCCTCAAATATTGGAAGAAGTCACCACCTGTGAGTGGCTGGCTGAAGTGCCATCTGTTGAGGAAGTACTGAAGGCGATCCGGAGTCTGAGACCAGGAAAGGCAGCGGGCAGAGATGATCTCCCAAGCGAAATGCTGAGGGAGGGTGGCGTTTGTGCACAGACTGCCCTATATGACATCATAACAACAGTCTGGACCACTGGACGGGTTCCGCAGGTATGGAAGGATGCCCTGGTGGTCCTCCTCTTTAAGAAGGGGGACCGCACAGACTAACAACTACAGGGGCATCTCACTCCTCAGTGTGCCGGGAATGGTCCTGGCAAGGATTGTTCAACATCGCCTTGCCAGGCACGCTGAGGAGAGGCTTGCGGAGCCCCAATGCGGTTTCAGGAAAGGGCGGTCCTGCATAGATGCCATATTTTCTGTCCGCCTGCTACAGCAGAGGTGTAGGGAATTCCAGCAAGACCTACATCTCTGCTTTATTGACCTGGTCAAGGCCTATGATACCATCAGTAGGCCTGGGCTCTGGGTTGTTCTTCGTGCTTTTGGAGTACCTGACCCTCTGCTCACGATCATTAAGGACCTTCATGATGGTGAGCGGGCCCAGTTAAAACTACGTGGCCAGGAGTCCGAGCCATTCCCTGTACACCTTGGGATACGACAGGGATGTCCTCTGGCTCCCACATTATTTAACATCTATTTTGACCACGTAGTTCGTGAAGCCTTCAATAGCTGTATCGGGGGAATCTCCATATGGTACAGATATAATGGGAGGCTGATCGATGCCCGGTGCGGTCAAGGGATGGCTCCCTATTGCTCAACCACGTTATGTATGCCGATGATTTGGTAATAACTGCTCATTCAGAGGAGGAGTTGGAGACGCTGCTGCTGAGACTGGAGCGTGCCACTAAGAGATGGGGCCTTACCATCAGCCCCACCAAAACTAAGCACCTGCCTGGGTATTTTGTACCATCGGACACTCTACCCCCACAACTCCCAATCGGTGATGGGGCAGTTGAGGAGAGAGTGGAGAGTTTCCCATACCTGGGCAGTGTGCTTATGACCGGCTCCAGTTTAACAGCAGAGGTCTCACTCCGAATCAGTCGAGCGGCAATATCTTTTCATCGGTTGCGTAACGCTGTGTGGAAGCTACCTGGTCTGTCGCTCCGCACTAAGCTTCAGGTCTTCTCGGCCACGGTCATTCCCTCCCTTCTCTATGCTTGCAAAACGTGGACCCCCCTAATGGAACATCTTCGCCGGTTAGAAACATTTAGGCTGGCCTACCTATGATCCATTCTGGGTTTAACCAGACTGGATTGTGTGAGCTCACAAATCCTTCAAAGATCTGGGCAAGGTCCCATCGGTGAGCTCCTCCGGCGGGCAAAGCTGCGATGGCTGGGTCATGTACCCCGCATGCCCAGCCACCGCATGCCGAAACAGCTTTTGTTCGGCCGGATCGAGGGGGCTAAACGGGTGCGGCACGGGCTAGAGAAGAGATGGAGTGATGTGGTACAGGAGGACGTGGAGCTGAGTGGACTTGCCGATGACTGGTACCAGTGGTGTCAAGATCGGCCTCTATGGAGGAGGCTCGTGAAGGAAGCTACTGGGCAGTTGGAGGTAGTCGCCCTCCGACAACAACGGAGGGCGGAGGAGCGACGCTCACAACAACAAGCGGAGCGCCGGGTGGCTAGGGCACAGCAGGTTGGCACAGTAGGGGGCACAGGTGGTGCATCAGCCAGTCATCTCAGTCATCTCAGTCAGTCGACCCGTGGCACCTGGGTCTGCCCCATGACCTCCTGCCAGCGGGCGTTCGACACTTAACGTGGCTTCAAGGTGCACATGGCCTGGCACAAGCGTCGTGGTGACGTCACTGCCACTTAGTGGCGAATGGCGGTTGTTGTTGTTGTTGTGCGTCTTCATAGGAGTTTGCTAACAGCACTTGCCCCAACAGCCGCACACTTGAGGGAACTTTGTCATTTTGTGTGCGGGTAGTGGTGGCTCAGCGGTTACCCCACGGAGTTACGAACACTGCTATTTGAGTTTGATTCCTGGTCACACTTATCCTGGGCTTCCACCGGGTCAACTCAGCCTTAAATGCGCACCTGGTGTGATATATGAACGTCAGCAAGCAAGAACTGCTGGCCATAGTGCTGGCCATACCACTCCCTCTGGAACTATGGTATGCCGTAATAGGTACTCACTAACAGCACATACCTCAAGAGTCTATAAAGCTCAATGTTGGATCTTTGTCTTCGTGGACAGTTGTTTCGTAGTGGCCTGTATACGTACTGTGCTACCATGCCAATTTCAGGTTCGCACAACATTCATGGCAAGTGGAATTTAAACCTGCCTCGAGTCAACGTAGCCCACAATGAGTACTTGATGCAGTGTATGAGCATCAGTGCCGAGGAGACAAATGCAACCAAGGAAGCGCGGTGCTTGTCACGTGACCCTGCAGTATCACTGGCGGTCTTATTAGTTGCTCACTAACAGCATGTGGCCTGGAAGTCTTTTGGCCAAACGAGGGATGTTTGGATGCGTGCGTGTGTGTGCGCACACGTGAGCGTCTGAGCGAGCTACTTACCCGTGGGCCTCTTCTCCCAGGGGGGCCAGGAGATCCAGGGGGACCTGGAGGACCCTGAAAATAGAGCATCACAAAACACACATTGTAGTTATTAAATTTTGCGGCACCAGCGTGGCGCTTGTGCGAACTCAGGTACGCGATGCGCGTGGCTAGCGCCGCGGAGATACGCGCCGGGCGCGGGCAAATGTCATAGGTGAAAGCGCTGCACCAGCTGTTCTAATGAAGCGTACACAAAAATAACAGGTGCTCAAAACATTGCGGTTCATAAAATGACACCATAATCCTTTTAAAATTGTTTAAAGCCCTCCTTAAGGCAATATGTTGAAATTAACACAAAGGACGCTTATCTGCAAGCAATGCGCATTCTTAACGCAATTTAATAACCAGCAGCTCATACAACTTAAGTATTAAGATTGATTAATTTTGGGCTCATTAATGTCTCGCTGCGTCTGTAATGTTTTGTACAGATGAGGTTGCTTTTTTGTATTCGGCCAGTCCATTCCCTTGGCTTCGTCATCCTCACAGGAGGCACAGTGTACTGTTGCGCATCGGAAAATAACTTGCAAGAGAAAGTCGATCCTGACCGTGTGTACATGTGAAGGAGGTTCAAGAGGTGTTTTGATCATATGCAGTCATCGTTCTACATCCCAAAGCCTCACTCAGAAGCGTTACTCAATTTCTATGAATGCATCGCTGAGAATTCATTTTTGTGATCGCCATACGAATTAACGTTTTGATTTATATTGCAGGAAAAAATAATCAACGATTGCCTCTTGGAAAAAAAAAATTCATCCATAATATTATTCTTCAAGTTGTAAGCCTTATTGCACAACACTTTGCCATTTTAAGCTGCAACATTTTAATCGGAAAACTTTGAAAGAGATTTCGCACACCCAAAGAATAAAGGCCAGTGATATAAAACTCAAAACACAGTACACAATGCCAGCCAAAAGGCAGGATGGTCAAACTCACTTCACTGTAACTATGGTGCAAGAGCCCCACTGCCCTCCTACCAAAGACAAAGTTCCCCCGTATAGCCTTAACAGACTCTATGACGGCTGGCATGGTAGACGAGGGGGTGGGGTGACCACCACCACGCCCGGCCGCTTTTGTCTCAATAGAGGCGATGTTTATATGCTGCACCAGCTACTCATTTGAGCCGACCTTCGGGAAGGCCCAGGACCAGTTCAGATAATCGTCACTGGCATTAGCCGTGAGCGGCAATAGAACTCGGGTCGCCGGGTTCGCAGTGCATCGCGCTAACCGTGACACCGCCCTCCCCTACCACTACACACGGATTGTACCCCACGAATAGCCTGCGATACAAGAATGGACGCGAGTCCACACACTGCCTGACCCATGTCGGTTTTTTTGCTCAGCGTGCGCGGTGCCCTCGGGCGATGCACGGCTGCAGCAAACAGTTACGGTTCTTCCAAAATTTGGCTATTGTCAGCTGTTATCGTGTAGGGATGGGAAAAAATGATCATCCCGTACTCGGCCAAGCCAAGGAGGGCATATTTTCCCAAATAGTCACTCGAGAGGGTGGTGGGTGGGCGACGTCACACTGAGTGGACGTTGTTCACAGTCTAAACAATGAAGCCAACTGATATTAATACAGACCACAAGCACTTGCAGAGCGCCAACGCTGCTGTGAATGTAGACACGTGCTAACATGAATAGTAATTTTAATTTGATTAAGGTGCAAATTGACGGATTTATTTCAATGATTACTTTTGGAATTTTTATATCGGTGCACGGATTTGAAATACGTGTCTAAATGTGGCGAGATAAATTGTTAAAATCCTGATAATGTTACACATCTATAACGAATGAACAGTCTGTGGAAAATAATTGCCTTTTTTGTCCTTGCTTTTGAAATGTATAAAAGAATAATTTTACGCATATTTTAAGGAATATGTTTTTTTTTAAAAGGGTTCCATCACAAGATGCCGTATGATTGTTGTGCAGTTAACCACATCACACATGGAATGCGCTCGATCTTATCAGACCTTGGAAGCTAAGCTGCTTTGAGCCTGGATAGCGCTTGTATAGGAGATCACCACGTGCAACAGGTTGTTATAGGCTGCGGGGCTATGTGGTTGGCAGCAGAGAGGATAGTGCAACAAAATCCATCGTTTTACTCCACATATACGCCCCCACATCTTTGCTCTCCACCTTCACAACCCGCGCTCAACTAGATGGGTGAAGTATGGTAATATAACCCCGGCCCACTACTCGCACAGAGTGCGGTGGCTCTCATCCAGCAGTGGATTGACAAAACGGCTGCATGCACACTTGCGATTATTGTAAGATTTCATGCACGCCCCTTGGGCCCAAAGAGTACAACTATCCAACTTTAAATGAACAAAACGAAAGAAGAAGAAACATTATACACAAGAACGACGCTGCGGTCCAAAATGTAAATCAAGGATGACAAGTGCCTCTGAACTATTTCAAGAGACAATGCCGACGACCGCGAACTTGCAAGCTGTAGGTCACGGTTTCGTGCATGGGAATATTTATAGCCGTGCCTTCAACTCGCATAATTAATGAACGAAAATCTTATCTTGAGGACAGCACGTGTCAACATGCCATGCCTGTCAACGTGCCTCCATACAGGCAGCAGCATCAGCAGCAGCAGGAGCGCCGCCACTGGTGCGGCCTTTGGAGTGCGGGTGACTCATGCTGGTGCTCGTGGCTGGCAGGCAACTCGGCTATCGCTATTAATCATGAGCCCAGCTCAAAATCGTGAGCATGCTCAAACCCTGGGACGTTGCGAATCCAAGATCGTAGCGGTCGTTATCAAGGCACGAGTTTCGTGCCATAAACAAGAGTGAGCGAGACAGTGTGCACTGAGTTCAACTGACTGCATCTGCCAATGACCAAATCATCCTGAATGTGCCCGATCATATCAGATCTCAGAATCTAAGCAGAGCAGAGTCTGACCATTACTACTCTGTATGCCAGGTTGATATAGAAAGCTCAGAAGCTGTGCTATGTGGTGGGCAGGATAGAGTAGTGGAGCAATATACATATATTGTTGTACAGTACTGTGATTCTATGCTCTCACGTTTATGTTTCCAGCCTTCACAGCCCGCACTGACTAGCGTGGTGAAGTATGGTCGAATAACATGCACGACCCGTACGGCATGGCGAGGCTCTCGTCCAGTGGTGGATTGACACAATGGCTGTAATTGTGCACACATACAATTGACTCTATCCTTGACCTTTGACGTATATTCCAAATCTGAAGCCAAGATACATTTGGCTGAGTTAATGGAAGGACAAACCGTGAACAAAAGAATATAAAATACCCTCTCTGAATTATGTTTGGCTATTGTGATACATGACTATATGCAGAGAATTCACAGCATGTCGCTGGATCAAGGAGACTGCATCGATAAGGCAACGCTGGCTGAATACGTTCCATGGCAGTGCAGCCACGTTCATGGCCATGTGTTGGAACTTCAGTTGTGCAAAGCGGCAAAACATCTCAGATGAATGAAATGATAAATGAGCGAGTGCATGAACGGCTGTGAAGGTCGTGCAAAATATATGTAAACAGCGATAGGGTTAAGTTAGTGCTCGCTATGCGTTGCATCTCAGTGCTGAAAAGCAGAAAATATTTCTGAAGATGATATTGATAGACGAATTATTCTGCTGAATGAATAGACGACAACCCAGCATTCGTGGCACCAGTATGGTTATATGACGGTGTCCATTAATATCAGATGATTGTTGCATGTCATCAACACCAGCATTACCACATTGGTGATTATAACATGTTTCATATTCGTCTTTCGTACAGAGTTTGAAGAAAGTAAGAGGCTACAATTTTATGTTTAATTTCGTAAGTCATTCCACAGCATCTGGGGTGATGGCTGAGTAGAGTTATATGCTTGCTCCACCAGTATATGCGAGTTGTATTGAGCATTCATCTTTGATATGCCTGGTTTGCAGCTTTCTCTTATAAAAAAGCCTTTTCTTAGATAATTTATATTTACATAACGTACGTGACAAACTCACCAGGAATGTGAGCAGGATTGAGCCTGGATAGTGTATGGATGCGTTACAACCATTCATAGCAGGTATGATCAGCTGCTCTGGAGAAATGTAGCGATCAGCGAAGGGCAGAACGGCAAACTCAATTGTTGCACCATACCTCTATGCTTCTCAACGTGGGTTCAGAGTATTTGACTGCTATAAATCTCCACGTGATGATAAGCCACTTCGTTGAGCTATCATTTGTTCACAATGTGAACTTAATAGGTGGTCGTTCGAGTGGGGTGCAGTTGTTAACCCGTCGAGTTCAATTCCTGGCCACATGACAGGCATTAAAGCCTTCTGCAGAGCTATATGATGGGGCAGCAGACGGCGGTGGAGCAAAATCTATGTTTGTCCTGTACTTCTATGCTCCTGTCCCTACGCTCCCTGCCTTCACAACCCACACCGACCAGAGTGGTGAAGTAGTGAAGTCGAATAACCCTGACGACCCGGCCGATGTGGAGCAGTTGATTGATAAACACCCCACATGTACGTCAAGTTACAAACGTCCAGTACTTCATATTTATTTTGTTGCCCCCCCCCCCCCCCCCCCAAACTTGATTTGGTGAGGAGAAACAGTTGCCTTTCCAGACGTATGAGACGCACGACTAATTCTCGCTATCTGGCATCGGTCAATCCTCGGTTTTTTTTTCATTCTTCTCTCAAACGACCAGAACAAAAAAAACGTTGCGGCGTGCACGCTATCCGCCCCGCAGGAATGGACGCCCAAACGCACCACCACCAACCACCCCCTCCCCCCCCCTGCTCTCTCGTAAACTCTTTGCCGTTTGAAGTCTCTCGCTCTTGCCGCCGCGAGCCGTGGTAGCACCAGCAGCCGCGGCAGCCCGGCGTTTCCTCCGCGGGGTCTTCCTCACGGGCACCCCCCCATCCCCCCCCTACCCACACTGCGATATTGCATCGCTCGGTGTCGCAGGGAAGGAGGAACAACAACAAAAAACGCGCGGCATTTGGCGAGGCAATTTTTGCCACCACTCGGGATGACAAAACAA